GGTTTCACCATGTTGACCAGGATGGTCTCGATCTCTTGACCTCATGATCCACCCGCCTCGGCCTCCCAAAGTGCTGGGATTACAGGCTTGAGCCACCGCGCCCGGCCTGATTTATGACTTTTTAAAGCTTATGGGAGCTGGGGGCGGTGGCTCATGCCTGTAATACCACCACTTTGGGAGGCCAAGGCAGGTGGATCATCTAAGGTCAGGATTTTGAGACCAGCGGGGCCAACATGGTGAAACCCCGTCTCTACTAAAAATAAAAAAATTAGCCAGATGTGGTGGCACACACCTTAATCCCACCTACTTGGGAGGATGAGGCAGGAGAATTGCTTAACCCCAGGAGGTAGAGGTTGCGGTGAGCCAAGATTGCATCACTGCACTCCAGCGTGGGCAACAAGTGTGAGATTCCATCTCAATAAATAAATAAATAAATAAATAATAAAGTTTATGGGGCCTGGACTGCTCTAGCACCTTAAAACCTTGTTTCAATGCAGTCCCCTGGCACTTATGTGCAAATTGGATTCTGTTCTACAGAATCCAGTTTTGGTTGCTATTCTCAGCTTGGCCTACCACACTTGCCAGTGAGTTCGTACTGGTAATTTTGAGATTCTCCTCTCTTCAGTGCTGTTAGTAGTCTAGTTGACAGCCAGGCACAGTGGCTCATGCCTATAATCCCAGCACTTTGGGAGGCCAAGACTGGTAGATCACCTGAGGTCAGGAGTTTGAGACCAGCCTGCTGAAACGCCATCTCTACCTAAAACACAAAAATTAGCCAGGTGTGGTGGTACACGCCTGTATTCACAGCTACTTGGAAAGCTGAGGCAGGAGAATTTCTTGAACTCAGGAGGCAGAGATTGCAGTGAGCTGAGATCATGCCACTGCACTCCAGCCTGGGCGGAAGAGCAAACAATAAAGAAGTCTAGTTGACTTTCCTCTACTTCTTCGTGTGTGTGTGTGTGTGTGTGTGTGTGTGTGTGTCTAGAATACACACACACATACTCTCACTTTCTCGCTCTCTTTAAATAAAGTTATACATGCAAAAAATATTTTTCCCTCGCTTAATGTCTTAGAGATTTTTCCATATGAGCATCTACAAATCGAACTCATTCTTTTTAATGGCTGTATTATGGTAATACTTGTGTAGCATTTACCCTGTGGCCAGGCACTCACTGTTCTATGTTTTGTATACACATATTAATTTAATTCTTATAACATCTTATGAATTATGTACCATTGTTACCCCCATTTTACAGATGAGGCAACTGATGCACAGAGAGGTTAAGTGACTTGAACAAGGTCACAAATGTAGTATATTGTCTTTTGTATCAATGTATTATTATTTAGGCTGTCTAGTTGTATTTTTCTACTGATGGACCTTAGACAGTTTTCTATTTCTTTCTTTTTAATTTTTTTATTATCTTAAAACCTCTCTGAAATTTACATCCTTGTGCTATATTTTATATAACCTGGCAAAATTTTGTGGGCTATTATCCATAGAGCTAAATCCTAGCAGTGGGGTTGCTGAATATCTTTTGAAATTTTGTTCTGAGAACTGTTGGAGACTTTTAATATATTGTTCAGGTAAATTAGAAAAACCCAAGGGCTCTATAAAACTAAGGTTCAGTGTCACTATTTTAGATCATATTGCTGCTTTTAAAAAGAAGATCTGATCTTATGAGGCTTGGATGTAGGACCTTTCACAGTTGGGATATGGGAGAAAGAAAGGCCTACTTTCACTGACTCTGCTATTTATCCAACCAGAGATCATAATATATCTACTGATGATCTCTTTTCAGAACTGGTGGAGTCTCTTTCATTGCAGGGATCTTATGCTGGAAAAATCCATTCCATTGGTGATGCCTTCAGAAATTTTAAAAATCTCCGATCCTTAGATTTGTCAAGGAATCTGATCACTAGCCTTAAGGTAAGTTCTATATTCTATGACCAGCCTGATCTGCCCAATTTTTTTTTTTTTATGGGAAGAAATAAGAGATAGATCATGTCTGCTATAACAGTCTACCTGAGGAAAAAAAAAAAAAAAAGAAGAGATAGATCATGTCATCATGGGAAATATAGAATCTTCCCTTTAAATGATTCCCAACTAAATATAATTATTTACTACAAAATTCGTTCAACTTTGCAGTATATTTTAAATTGTTTGTTATAAAATATTGGGAGGGGAATTTCTTTTATACTTTCGGAAAACTATATTAAGATATCACTGCTGGCCGGGCTCAGTGGCTCACGCCTGTAATCCCAGCATTTTGGAAGGCCAAGGCGGGTGGATCACAAGGTCAAGAGATCGAGAGCATCCTGGCCAACATGGTAAAACCCCACCTCTACTAAAAATACAAAAATTAGCTGGGCATGGTGGCATGTGCCTGTAATCCCAGATGCTCAGGAGGCTGACGTAGGAGAATCACTTGAGCCAGGGAGTCAGAGGTTGCAGTGAGCTGAGATTGTGCCACTGCACTCCAGCCTGGTGACAAAGCAAGACTCTATCTCAAATAAAATAAAATAAAATAAAATAAAATAAAATAAAATAAAAAGATATAACTGCCTAGGGCAACAGTATAAATTTTAATGTATATAAAAAATTATGAAGAACACTTCCAAAATATAGATTCTCAGTCCCTACTGTGAGAATAGGTCTGATTTAGTAGGTCTAGGGTAGACTCAGGACATACTCAGATAATTCTATTGATGTTGGTATATAAAGCATACATGGAGAAACACTGGCATGTGTTGTTATTGTGGATTTTTTCTAGGAGGAGGAGGAAGGTGTAGTCTTGGAAAAATTTAGGTCAGGGGATGGTGGAGTAGAGGGTAGTACAGTAAGACAGGAGGGACCAAACATGAACAGTATGCGTGTGGATTAGCAGACGCACACAAAGAACTCTACAAACGTGAGTGTGCACACACAGAGATGCAAGTTTTGTTTTCTGTGGTTAGATCCCCAAATACTGCTTCTTCCACATGTTCCCCATTTTGCCTAAGCTCTGTACCTGTTTTGGCAAAGCCTTCCTTTTTTTTTTTTTTTGAGATGAAGTTTTGCTCTTATTGCCCAGGCTGGAGTGCAATGGTGTGATCTCAGCTCACTGCAACCTCTGCCTCCTGGGTTTAAGCGATTTTCCTGCCTCAGCCTCCTGGGAAGCTGGGATTACAGGCATGCACCACCACGCGTGGCTAATTTTGTATTTTTAGTAGAGATAGGGTTTCTCCATGTTGGTCAGGCTGGTCTTGAACTCCAGACCTCAGGTGATCTGCCTGCCTCAACCTCCCAAAGTGCTGGGATTACAGGCATGAGCCACCATGCCTGGCAGCAAAGCCCTTCTATGCAAGACCGAGGGTGACAAAGACTCACAGATGCTATCCAGGATTAGTTACCAATCTCCTGGGTCATCTACCCGTTTTATACTTCCTAGGGATATTTGTTGAACAACACATCCAGACCCAAATCCCAAGGTTTAGCTAAGGGCCTAAAAGATCAAAAGCCCCAGCAAGATCAGATTTCCATCTAGGACTCTAAAATCAGCAACTCCAAATTCAACTAGGTCTTTAAGCCATTTATATTTGGCCTATCAGTTTCAGAAATAATTGGTTCTTTCAGAGGTGATAGGATCCAATTTAAAAAATGAAAAGATAAAATGTAAAAAGAAAGTATTAATTCAGAGTTGCTTAGGTCTCCTCTTTTGTTTATTCTTTTTCAGGCTAAAAAATTAAGTGAACATTGCTATAATTTGTTTTTATACTCCCTTTCTTTCCACTTCTGTAAATTGGATGAAAAAATTATAACGATTAATCAAATCAGGACTGGGCATGGTGACTCACGCCTGTAATCCCAGAGCTTTGGAAGGCTGAGGCAGGCAGATTGCTTGAGCCCAGGAGTTCAAGACCAGCCTGTGCAATATAGTGAGACCCCATCTCTATTTAAAGAAATCAAGTTAACACATGTAATCAAAAAGAACATATATAAGACCCTCAGTACAGTGCTTGGCATATAGGAAGCACTCAGTAATGTTAGTTTTCTATATTTTTTGCATCTATTATTTTATTTTATTTATTTATTTTTCTAAGGCAGAGTCTCACTCTGTTGCCCAGGTTGGGGTGCAGTGGTGTGATCTCGGCTCAGTGCAACCTCCACCTCCCAGGTTCAAGAGATTCTCCTGACTCAGCCTCCTGAGTAGCTGGGATTACAGGTGCCTGCCACAACACCCAGCTAATATTTGTATTTTTAGTAAAGATGGGGTTTTGGCCAGGTGCAGCAGTGGCTCACGCCTATAATCCCAGCACTTTGGGAGGCTGAGGTGGGTGGATCACATGGTTAGGAGTTTGAGACCAGCCTGGCCAACATGGTGAAACCCTGTGTCCACTAAAAATATAAAAATTAGCTGGGTGTGGTGGTGCATGCCTGTAATCTCAGCTACTCGGGAGGCTGAGGCAGGAGAATCGTTGGAACCAAGGAGGTGAAGGTTGCAGTGAGCCGAGATTGCACCACTGCACTCCAGCCTGGGAGACAAAGTGAGACTCTGTCTCATAAAAAAAGAAAAAAAAAAAAGTTTCACTATGTTGGCCAGGCTGGTCTCAAACTCCTGACCTCAGGTGATCCACCTGCCTTGGCCTCCCAAAGCGCTGGGATTACAGGTGTGAGCCACCGTGCCCAGCTGCACCTATGATTTTATATTAATCTTTAACAGTTCTGAATCCTTTTGTTTAATTTTCCTCGGAGAGAATGTTTTTTGATTATTCGTAGTGTAACTTTGGATAGTACATAAATTCATGCCAACTGGGAAAAGTGAGAGGAGGATAAAAGTGTTTCCTTAGTTTTTACACTGAGAGACATTAAAAGATTACTTGAGCCAGGTGTGGTGGTTTATGCCTATAATCCCAGCACTTTGGGAAGCTGAGGCAGGAGGATTACTTGAAGCCAGGAGTTTGAGATTAGTCTGGGCAACAAAGCAAGATCCCATCTCTGCAAAACAAAAACAAAAACAAACAAACAAAAAGCCAGGTCAGCGCAGTGGCTCACGCCTGTAATCCCGGCACTTTGGGAGGCCGAGGCAGGCGGATCACAAGGTCAAGAGATCAAGACCATCCTGGCCAACATGGTGAAACCCCGTCTCTACTAAAAATAGAAAAATTAGTTGGGTATGGTGGCGCACGCCTGTAGTCCCAGTTACCTGGGAGGCTGAGGCAGAAGAATCGCTTGAACCTGGGTGGTGGAGGTTGCAGTGAGCTGAGATTGCATCACTGCACTGCAGCCTGGCAACAGAGTGAGACTCAGTCTCAAAAAAAAAAAAAAAAAGCCATAGCTGGTGACATGTGCCTGTAATCCCAGCTATTTGGGAGGCTGAAGCAGGAGGATCCCTTGTCCCAGAAGTTCGAGGCTGCAATGAGCCGTGTTCGTGCCACTGCACTCCAACCTGGATGACAGAGCAAAATTCTTTCTCGGAAAAAAACAAAAAAACAAAAAATTGAGCTGGGCCATTAGACCATGAAAGATAGTCCTAATGGTGTACTGCCCTGAGAGTGAGGCCAAGGGCACTGATAGCTATTTTTAACCACTGACCCATTAACAATGTAGAAGTTAATGGAATTTGAGAGAAAAAAAAAGAAATGCATCAAAGTATATACAGGGTTCTGTTTGGGAATGTTTTGTATCTATCTTTGAGTTTTCCAAATTTCTTGCAATGAGAAAATGATAATTTTAAATGAGAGGAGAATAAAAACATTATTTTATAAATACATAATGGAAAATAATTTTACCTTTCTGAAATAATTCTCAATGACAGAATTCCTTTTATGGCAAGCATTTTTACTATTGAAAGTACATGATTAACCAGGCACCGTGGCTCATGCCTGTAATCCCAACACTTTGGGTGGCAAAGCAGGAAAATTGCTTGAGCTCAGGAGTTCAAGACCAGCCTGGGCAGCATAGTGAGACCTTGTCTCCAGTAAAAATCAAAAAATAGCCACATGTGGTGGCACATGCCTGTATTCCCAGCTACTCAGGGGCTGAGGCAAGAGGATCACTTGAGCCCAGGAGGTTGGGGCTGCAATGAGCTCTGATTGTGCCACTGTACTCCAGCCTGGGTGATAGAGTGATACCATGTCTTAAAAAAAAAATAAGTATGTGATTATACATATATGTACATGTTTTGAAATTGTCCTGAAACTTAGTGTTGGGCAAAAGCAGCTAACTAGCTAAATGCATAAGGTTGAAATAAAACTTTTCAATAGCAGGTTTCAGCAGAGGAAGAAAATTGTGGCTTTTCCTCTTGAGTTTGCCAGATCTGATGGTACTGTTGCCAGTTAAGTAGCTGGTGAGGTTGCTAAATCCACAGAAAGAGTACTGAATAAGGAAGAACATTTCTACAAAGAACTGACTGATTGATTAAATGGGAAGCTTGTATGGTAGCAGGAACTCTGAAGAGAAAAACAAAGAAATAAGTTTGTTTTGTTTCCCTAAATAGACCTTTGACCATATACTTGAGGCACTGAGCTATAAGAACATAACACACACACACACACACACACACACACACACACACACTTTTTTTTTAACCGTGCCCCTTTCCCCCAGCACCAGCTCTTTTGTTTACCTCCCTTCTTCTTGTAAATTAAGGTGCTTATGGGATCAGGAGAGGGGTTGGGACCAGAGTGAGAGAATGCTAATGTGGCTTGGCCACTGGGAAATAGCTGGCAAGGACTGGATTGGGTTGGGAGAATAACTGGAGAGCCAATAGAAGTGGAGAATTGACTCTAGATATTTGAATGTCAGATTTTGTAAAGAAGGAAATGTATCATATATGTGAATTATTTAAAGTATAGAACACCTAGTGCTCATGGACTGCAGTGGTCTTATTCCCAGACAAGTAAGTGGGAGTTCCAGCCCTGTCTTTCTCACAGGGGGCTCAGATAACATCCTTTTTATTTTTTAAGCATGGAAAGTAATATACATCTCCACCTTTTTCTATGAGGTTCCTAGTCTTTACCAATATGCTGTTTCATAATGTGGTGTTTTCCTTGCAGGGAATCCAGTATTTATGTTCACTCCAAGACCTGAATTTATATTATAACAACATTCCTTCATTAGTGGAAGTGTCCCGTCTGCAACCTTTACCCTTCCTCAAAGAACTGGATTTGAGACTTAATCCTGTTGTAAGGAAAGATACAGATTATAGGCTCTTTGCTGTATACACATTACAAACTCTGGAGAAACTAGGTAAGACCTTCCTTCTCTGTTCCTTTCCCCAGAATCTTACTTTAAATCAGCTGCCCCTTAACCTTTTGGATGTTGGCCCAAAGTGTACACTGGCAGGATATATTTGTTTATTAGTCAATATTTATGTAACTCTTTTGTGTTGGCAGGATGTATGACGAGTTCTTTTATTGTTTAGTCAATGACAGTCTATGATTTTATCAGTTACTTCCAGCTTTAGTTTTCTTCAGTTGATGGTTTCACCGCCCCTTCCTCCTCAACACAAAATTTCCAGGTTGAGAATTGTTTTTCCAGGTGCCCCAACTTTGCAACTGTATTAGCAACAGAAAGCTAATACAATAATTCTTTGGGGCTTAGTTGGCAAGAAACAAGAAATATTCCTTCAAATGAGCTGGTCTGTATTTTCTTATTATTTCACTTTATTTATTTATTTATGAGGCAGGGTCAAGTGATCCTCCCATCTTAGTCTCCCAAGTAGCCGAGACTACAGGCACACACCACCACGGCCAGCTAATTTTTGTATTTTTTGTAGAGATGGGGTTTTACCATGTTGCCCAGGCTGGACTTATAATTTTATTGTTGAGTATACATTTCTTATTGATACAAAATTGGATTTCACATGGCCCTGGGAAAGTCATTGTAGAGAAACTAAGTAAACTCTTTCAGACAATGGTATGACTTTCAGCCCTAACTTTAGGTCTTTGAATTATTTGCTGCTGCAAGCTCTGCTTTCCTGAAGGGTTAGCTACAACTGTGAGGGTGTGGTCGCTATGGTTCCCTGTGGTCTCCCTGAGTTACTGCCTGCTCCAGTGACAACATAATAGCATTATTTTGTGACCTGTCTCTAACACTGTCAAGATGAGACTGATCTTAATTTTTCCTCTGTGAATATGGTTTTCTGATTAACTACTAGTTATGGTTACACCAAAAAAAGAAACATGCTCAGACCATGGTTTTTGCCTCCAGATGACCGAGCTGTACGTGAAGGTGAGAGAAAAGCTGCCAAGCTACATTTTAGTCAGTTGGGCAACAGTGGAAATTTTCTTTTAGAGGTGGAAAAAAGGTAAGAAGATTCTTTACAAGATTTTTAAGTTTGGTTCTGGATATAGGACATAGTGAATTCCTGCTTAGCTTTCTTCATTTTCCAGCAGAAATTTCCCACAAATTATAAGAATCCTCAGATCAGGAATAAAAGTATCTATTCTGAAAACTGAGATTTATCTGGGATGATCATCTGGCCCTCAGTGGGTACATTCTTGTTTTCTTCAACTATTGGGTCTGCTCTGGGTATAATTGTAAATTCTCTAAAGTTGTTGCTCACAGGTAGAATACTATGAGATTAGTTATCCCCATAAATGCTTACCAACTCTTTCTTGGTAGAGTTATCAATCAGTTTGTGATCTTTTCCTATTGAATTAGGATTACATTATCATGGGCAAGATTGTTAAAGATAAATTTGTTAAAGGAAAGGAAGAGAAGCATTTCTCTTCAAAACAAAAAGTGAACAAACCTTGAGGCTCTAAAATTTCTGAATGGTAGCTTTGTCCATTTTTTGTTACTAAAATCCTATCAAAAGAAGGAAACGTTGTCTTCTATCCTCAAACCTATACTTTTTAAAAAGTAGCTTTATTATTTAAAAAAAATAGATAGCAGTCCATTACAATTTTATTAATACAGAAAAGTATACTGAAAAAAGTCAAAATTACTTCATATCCTGCAATTGAGAGTTCACTATTAGTAATGTTTGGTATACATCCTTCCAGATATCCTTGTACTATAGTCACATATAGATGTATCTATTAGCATTTTTTTTCTGATGACAAAGGTAATACATGCTTATTGTTGAGAATTTGGAAACTACAGAAAAAAACACAAGAGATAAAATAAGTAAGTCACAATCCTACCATTCAGAAAGAAACATTATATTCTGGTAAATATCTTTTTTTTTTTTTGAGACAGAGTCTTACTCTGTCACCCAGGCTGCAGTGCAGTGGCACAATCTTGGCTCACTACAACCTCCACCTCCTGGATTCAAGTGATTCTCCTGCCTCAGCCTCCTGTGTAGCTGGGATTATAGGTGCACACCACTACCTAGCTTCCCATTTTTAATTTAACGAGATATCATGAACATGTCCCCACAACATTATTCTTATATCCTTCTTAAGAATAAGTCTTTTATTTGTTTGTTTATTGCTTTTACCTCTACTACTAGAACATAAACTCCATGAGAACAAGGATCTGTTGGTCTTGCTTATTACAGTATTCCTAGTTGCTAGAACCATGTCTGGAATACAGATGTTGCTAAGAAATAATGTGATGAATGATGAATGAATGAAGTCAATGCCTGTTGGTCTGAGATCCTTTCCTTTTCCAGTGACTTTGCTGTCTCTGCTCTGATCCATTATATATTTTATAGTGTAGCCTTCAGTGAACATTCTTAGTTTCCTATTTTTTAAAATCAGATTTATTGAGGTTACTTTGCATAGAACATTCATTCTTTAGACAAAAATTGAATGCTTCTAAAACACTGTGTTTTATATATATATATATATATATATTTTTTTTTTTTTGTGGGGGGGCACAGAGTCTTGCTCTGTCACCAGGCACCAGGCTGGAATGCAGTGGCGTGATCCTAGCTCACTGCAACCTCTGCCTCCCGGTTTCAAGCAATTCTCCTGCCTCAGCCTCCCGAGTAGCTGGGACCACAGGCGCGCGCCACCATGCCCGCTAATTTTGAATTTTTTAGTAGAGACGGGGTTTCACCATGTTGGCCACGATGGTCTCGATCTCTTGACCTTGTGCTCTGCCTGCCTTGGCCTCCCAAAGTGCTGGGATTACAGGCGTGAGCCACTGCACCCGGCCTGTGTTACATATTTTATGGATTAATTCCTATTTTAAATGCATTGGGTATTATTTACTACAAAAATACAGATATTAATTAATGTATAACAGAATAAACTTTCTAATATGGCAAATAATTAATTACATCATTTATCTGTTTAGTTACCATAAAAAGATTGTAAAACTGGAAGCAAAATGTTACTCAAGTACCCTGTATTACTATTAATATCTTATAAGTTCTCTAACCTTGGGTGAAGTTTTTTTTGTAAACCTTTCTGAGTCCCAGTTCCCCCACCTATAAATGGAGATAATAACCAGTAGGAGGCCTTTTATGATTACATGAAATGGTGATTGTAAAGCATCTGGTACATAGAGTCTAGGCTTTGTGTGCTTAGTGTACTACCCAAGGTACCTACCTGCCTTTCTTGGCTGTTTTTCTAACTAATGGTTATAATTGTCTCCTCTATAATTCTTGCTAACAGAACCTTCCCTTCTGTGTCCTAACTATGAGTATTTTAATTCAAAAGAAACTATTCTACTCCCTCAATTCAGATCTAAGTTTGTATCAAGAAAACAGAGTATCTAAGTTTTAAATCTTCTGGCTTTCACACTTTACAAGCTGAACTATATAGTGTCCTCTCATATTTCCCAGTATAAATATTACTTTTTAAAAAAACAAAGTATGGCTTTAACGGAATTATTTGTGAAAGATACTTTTTTTTCTTTCTCCTGAGATGGAGTCTTGCTCTGTCATCCAGGCTGGAATACAGTGGCGCAGTCTTGGCTCACTGCCATCTCCATCTCCCGAGTTCAAGCAATTCTCCTGCCTCAGCCTCCCGAGTAACTGGGACTACAGGTGCATGCCACCACGCCTGGCTAATTTTTGTATTTTTAGTAGAGCCTAAAATTGTATTTGTTTTTTGGGGTATGTTTTTTTTTTTTTTTTTTTTTTTTTTTTTTTTTTTTTTTTTTTTTTTTTTTTTTTTTTTTTTTTTTTTTTTTTTTTTTTTCGGCTCACCGCAACCTTCACCTCCTGGGTTCAAGTGATTCTCAGCATCCCGAATAGCTGTGATTATAGGCGCGCACCACGATGCCCAGCGAATTATTTTTTTGGTATTTTTTTTTTTTTGTATCTTGTATTTTTTTTTATTTGTATTTTTAGTAGAGACTAAAATTTTTAGTTTCGCCATGTTGGCCAGGCTGGTCTCAAACTCCTGACCTCATGATCTGCCCGCCTTTACCTCCCAAAGTTCTGTGATTACAGGTATGAGCCACTGCACCCACCTGAAACACAATTGAATTAATATATTCTAGAGCATTTGAGAAAAATCTGGGCTGGGTGCAGTGGCTCACACCTGTAATCCCAGCACTTTGGGAGGCCAAGGTGGGCAGATCATGAGGTCAGGAGTTTGAGACCGGCCTGGCCAACATGGTGAAACTTCATCTCTACTAAAATTACAAAAAATTAGCCAGGTGTGGTGGTACGTGCCTGTAATCCCAGCTACTGGGGGGCTGAGACAGGAGAATCGCTTGAACCCGGGAGGCGGAGGTTTCAGTGAGCTAAGATCCAGCCTGGGTGACAGAGGGAGACTCCATTTCAAAAAGAAAAAAGAAAAAGAAAAATCTTAACACCATAAACTGTTTTCTAAACAGCATTTATTGGTGATCTCAGAAGCCCCCTTTTTCTTTAATTTTAAATAAATTATTCTATGTGGGCAGCTCTAGGGAGAAGACAATGAAAAACTGTGTAACAGATGAATGCTCTGCATCAAAAGTCAGTGCTAATGTTGACAGCAGGATTGAAATGGGTAAGTTTTCTCTCTGTGATTGTAATATAATTAAAACATCAGTTATCTCAGCTGTCATAGCTAATATAAGATGAAGACACATAGTTGAGAAAGAACAGATTTGAAGCAAGCACAGGTTTACTGGCTGTGTTTTTCTTCCATCCTCTCACTGCCAGAAGGACCTTACAGAGCAGGTCTAACCCAGAGCTCATCAAAGCACAGGCTATACTTGGAAAGTTCGATTTCATTTACATCACTTTACATCATTAGTATACCCAGAAAATTACATTACATCAGTGATGATTTCATTAGTCAGAGACTGGCAACTCATTTGCATACATGCAGCTTATACCCTGGGCTTTCTGGGCTACCCACCCAAGAACCTTTGCAGCTGTGGAATCTCTTGTGTTTGGGATATATTCCTGGGGAATGTTTACTATACTCCTGTAAATGCAATTGATAAGCCAGTATGATTAAAGTGGTTATGCCAGGCTGGGTGTGGTGGCTCATGCCTGTAATCCCAGCACTTTGGGAGGCCGAGGCGGGCAGATCATCTGAAATCGGGAGTTTGATACCAGTCTGACCAATGTGGAGAAACCCCGTCTCTCTACTAAAAATACAAAATTAGCCAGGCATGGTGGTGCATGCCTGTAATCCCAGCTACTTGGGAGGTTAAGACATGAGAATCACTTGAACCCAGGAGGTAGAGGTTGCAGGGAACTGAAATTGCACCATTGCAGTCCAGCCTGGGCAACAAAAGTGAAACTCCATCTCAAAAATAAATAAAGAAATAAATAATAAAGTGGTTATGCCACATTAATGGTCATGCCACAGGCTGGAAGAAAGCTTTCCACCAGAGAAGTTGCAACCAGTGAATCCTTGTGGATTAGCTTGGCACTGTCAGATAAATCAAGTGACCTTCTACTTGAGAAAATGTTCTTTGATCTCAGTGCTTCTTCCCTTGGAAAGATCTAGTGAATTATACACTAACTCTGAAAATCAATTCCTAAAAGCCCAGCAATAACTTTAGTAGATTGACTCTACACTGCAGTTTAGACATTAAGGATTTTCAGTTTATAACATATATTTTATTTTCCTGATTTCTTATCATTTATTGACAAATCATTTTTACTGTATTTTATGAAAAAATAAGACACAGGCCAGGCACAGTGGCTTACACCTGTAATCCCAGCACTTTGGGAGGCTGAGATGGGTAGATCATTTGAGGCCAGGAATTCAAGACCTTCCTGGCCAACATGGTAAAACCCCCTCTCTACTAAAAATATAAAAAGTAGCCAGACGTGGTGGCACACACTTGTAATCCCAGCTACTTGGATGGTTGAGGCATAAGACTTGATTGATCCTGGGAGATGGAGGTTGCAGTGAGCCAAGATCATGCCACTGCACTCCAGCATGGTTGACAGAGTGAGACTCTGTCTCAAAAAACAAATAGAAAGACATAATGAGGTGTGATTTTAATGTTCATTTCTTGGATATCCCAGTACATATAAATATTGGAAGTATGGATTACTTTATTTCATTTTAAATAGGATTTTTTTATATTTTAAAATTGACACAATTTTATTTTAATAATTTTGGAAAAGACTGAAAAGCATGAAAAACAACAGTTTAGTCACTCATAAGCCCATCCCCTAAAAAGAATCCTTTTGTATACAGGGTTCCTTGGTATACTGCCTTTGGTATACAGCCTAGTCTTTTTTTCTAGGTACAGGCATTTATATATCCATTTCCAGTCAGAGAAAAATACACTAAGGCATAATTTGACTGCATCTTTTTGTATGAGCTAAATTAGACTTCATTTATGCCTTATTACTTCATTAACATATTTTAAAAGTCTGAAAATGCACTGTCTCTTCTAAGAACAAACTGTTTTGCTAGAGGGCCCATTTCTAAAGGTTCTTAGAAGCTCCAGCTGTTCCCTGGATTTTTTTTTAATATAAAACTTATTTTACTGCTTTGAAACGTTAAGGAGCTTTGTTTTTCACCAAAAATTGTGTTTGTGCTGGATTCCCTGGAGAGTGTTGCCAGTAAGCACTGTTGGTAATCCAATATGATCAAAATGGTTATGCCATGTTAATGGCCATGCCACAGGCTAGGAGAAAACTTTCTGGAGAACAACTCTCACTAGCTCAGTTGTTCACAGTGATGTTTTCCCACCAATCATTTCAAATGGGCAATGAACCTCCACTATCTTGGATCTTCCTCTTAGTCTCCTAACCACATAATCTTTGACTCTTTGAAAGGTTCCTCTCTCTCTTCCCATATCCCCAAAATAGGCAGACATAGGCTATATCTTCAGACTCTCCTATTTTTTCTCTACTCTTTGCCCCTATTGATCTCGTGTATTTTATAGCTTTATTTATAAATATATCAATTATTTTATTTTATTTTTTGAGGCAGATCTCATTCTGTTGCCCAGGTGAGAGTACAGTGGTACAATCTCAGCTCACTGCAACCTCTGCCTCCTGGGCTCAAGCCATCCTCCCACTTCAACCTCCCGAGTAGGTGGGACTACAGATGTGTGCCACCATGCCCAGCTAAGTTTTATATTTTTTTGTAGAGAGGGGATTTTGTCATGTTGCCCAGGCTGATCTTGAACTCCTGAGCTCAAGCTATTTACCCTCCTCAGCCTCCCAAAGTGCTAGGATTATAGGTGTGAGCCACTGTGCCCAGCCTGTTTTATTTATTTATATTTATTTTATATTATTTCCTCATATCTTAAATATATTGGTCTAGCTTTGACAACTGGCACCAGTCTCTTTCTGCACCAGGCTCATATTTCTGTTGACCAACTAGTAATATATACTTGGAATCAATACTGTTTAACTTTCTAAACATGTCCAAAGCTAAACATGTCCAAAATAACCTCCAAACCAAACAAACAAACAAATGAGCCCCTCCCCACCCAGACCTAAACAGCTCTTAGGGTTTCATCAGTGTTACCACAACTTTCCCATCACCCTGACCCAGAATCATGTTAGGATTTGATGCTGCTACTCCTCTGAGCTGAATGTTTCTGCCCTATACTATGATACAAATTGACGAGCCTTTCTTTTTTTTTTTTTTTTTGAGACAGGGTCTCTCTCTGTCACCCAGGCTGTAGTGCAGTGGTGGGATCTTGGCTCACTGCCACCTCCACTTCCCTAGGTGGCAGAGCTGGGAGTCAAACTCTGGTCCATCTGTCATCAAAGTCCTCTTAACCGTTACATGATACTGCTTCCCAGTCTCTTCCTCCTTCAATTCATTTTGAACTTTGCTGCCAGGTTAATTCTTTTAAAACACGGCTGTGATAATTCATTATGCTTGCCTGCTCAAAAACTTCTCTGGCTCCCACTCCCCTACTAAATTAAGCCTAAATTCCTTTACTTGTCATATAAGACTCCCCTAAGCTCTATCTGTAATTTGTCTCTTCAGCCTAAACTGAAATCTTATCTTCTGTTTATCAGCTACAATGTCCAGTACTCAATCACACCACTCCTTCCTCCCCAAATAGTCTTTCGTTTCTCCCTCCTCTGTCCCTAAACTAATGCTGTCCCTCTGCTTGTAATGCTTTACTCAAATCCTACCCAAAGCCCATCCATTTATTGAAACTTTTTTTTTTTTTTTTTTTTTTGAGATGGAGTCTTGCTCTGTTGCCCAGGCTGGAGTGCAATGGTGCGATCTTGGCTCACTGCAACCTTCGCCTCCTGGGTTCAAGCAATTCTCATGCCTCAGCCTGCCAAGCAGCTGGGATTACAGATGTGCGCCACCACATCTAGCTAATTTTTGTATTTGTAGTAGAAATGGAGTTTCACCATGTTGGCCAGGCTGGTCTCAAATTCCTGACCTCAGGTGATCCACCCACCTTGGCTTCCCAAAGTGCTGGGATTACAGGCGTGAGCCACCACACCCAGCCAAAACTTTTTTTTTTTTTTTTGAAACAGAGTCTCAGTTGCTCAGGCTGGAGTGCAGTGGTGCCATCTCGGCTTATTGTAACCTCCATTTCCCAAGTTCAAGCAATTGTCTCAGCCTCCCGAGTACCTGGGATTACAGGTGTGCACCACCAGGCCCAGCTAATTTTTGTGTTTTTAGTAGAGACAGGGTTTTACCATGTTGGCCAGGCTGGTCTGGAACTCCCGACATCAAGTGATCCACCCACCTGGGCCTCCCAAAGTGCTGGGATTACAGATGTGAGCCGCTGCATCTGGCCAATAACCTGATTTTTAAAACATACTTTATTTTTTAGAACAGTTTTAGACTCAAAGCAAAATTGAGCAGACAGTAGAGTTCCCATATATCCTACTAGCACACACGTACAGCCTCCCCTACTATGAACATCCTGCCCCAGAGTGGTACATTTGTTACAATCAGGTAAACCTGTACTGAAACACTGAAGTCCATAGTTTACATTAGGTTTCACTCTTGGTGGTACATTCTATGGGTTTGATGAATGTATAATGACATGTATCTACCATTGTAGTATCATACAAAAATAGCTTCACTGCCCTGTGAATTCTCTGTGCTTGCCTATTCATTCCTTCATCCTCTGTAATCCCTGGCAACCACTGATCTTTTTACTGTCTCCATAGTATTGCCTTTTCCAGAATGTCATGTAGTTGGAATCACTCAGTATGTGGCCTTTCAGATTGTCTTCTTTCACTTAGCAATATACACTTAAGTTTCTTCCATGCCTTTTCATGGCTTGACAGTACATTTCTTCTTAGTGCTGAATAATATTTTATTGTCTGGATGTACCACAGTTTATTTATCTACTCACCCACTGAAAGACATCTTGGTTGCTTCCAAGTTTTGGCAATTATGACTAGAGCTGTTATAAACAACCTTGTGCAGGTTTTTGTGTGGGCATAAGTTTTCAACTCATTTTGGTAATTACCAAAGAACATGATTGCTGGATCATATAACAGTATGTTGAGCTTTGTAAGAAACTGCCAAATTGTTCCAATGTAATCTTTTTAAGATGTCTTTATATACTGAGTTTAGTTCTTAAATTGCAGTTTCTCAAACTGGACTCCTATTCTCAGAGTTTATTAGAACATTGAGCTTGAGAAACACTGATGTCCCTGGTGACATGCTATAGAAGCCCAGTGTGTGGTGGGGCAATGGAGAAAGGTTTTGTGGCAGATAGGGAAACAAAGCCATCAGACCTTACAGGCTGGAGAGCAATGGGGTGGTCTGAAAAGAGGAGCAGCACGTATTGGTTGGTGAGGTTGGTGTGAATTACTGTGAGGAATTGGTAAGGAGCATGGTAAGTCGTGAAGAAAGCCATGTGTCAGTGTGGTTTGGTTGGAAGGTTTATGTTGGGTAGAAGGTCGATTCTGGAGAACAATTAATACCTTACTAAGAATAATTTACATTTATCCTTTAGGTACTAGTTGAAAAGGACCTAATTCACTCATTTAGCCAGTTGTCTTTTCCTTTAAATAGAGTCCTACCTAAATATACTGATCTTATTCTAAAATAACAAGGAAAAATTCATCACAGCCAACCTCAGTGGCTCATTCCTGTGTCTAGCAGATGTGTCAAGATCTTCTTTATAACTCATTGAAATCCATCCTATTTCAACATGTTGATCCATGTCATCTCTTGCTTTAGCCGTAATGGAGTTTTGGCTGAATAAAAATTAGCTCGGAATACCAAAGGCTTCTCAAAATAGTCACTTGAAACAAGATAGTTCATTTCTCTCTCATGTAGAAAACTAGATGTTGACAATCTAGGGCTGTCATGGGGAAAGTTCTAAGAGGAGAATAACGAATAAGGGAGTAGGGCAGTTAGCAATCTCTGCCAGTGGAAATGAGAGCAATTCAGCAAAGAAGTACGTATCTACTGGGCAAATCTTGTGTTAGGGGCTAAGCAGACAAGGAAATGATTAATATAGTGTCACATCTTCACATACTCTGGAGAGTATTTATTACAGCTAATTAAGTCACAAGTAGGCTTCACTGTGAGACAAGAGCTCCACTGTGGCAGAGATACAGAGGGATGTTCGAGGAAAGGTGGTTGCAGTTAGTACTCTTTGCAGGCCTGGGAAAAGGCTGCACAAGAGAGAAAACACTTCAGTTGGGCATTCAAATAGAATTCAGTGGGCATAGTTGAGGGAAAAATGCATTCAATGTAGAGGGAAAAGCAGCAGCAAAGTCAGGTGAGACAGATCAGGAAATTGACTCAGCTTTTGGCTGGAGATAAGGCCAAGTTGCAAAGGGCCTCTTTAGTAATTATGTTCATTTTCTTCCTTTGAAAATAGGTAATAATTAAGTATTTCTTAGAGGTGAGGCAGGCTTAAATGTGTGATTTTGAGAGGTAAGCTAGATTTAGTTAGTGGGAGGTAATGAGGACCTGTCCTAGGAGGGCAATGGTAAAATAAATGCAGACCAGGAAGCACAGATTAAGTCCTACAGATTAAGTCCTGGAGAATATGAAAAGAAAGCCTGGATACAAAACATGAAGTATTTTCACCTGCAGTGTTTTGCTATATAGTTCAAACTTCAGAAGAATAGAATTTCTTTTTTTTTTTTTTT